ATATAAATTCTCTACATAAATCTCTCTCTATATATAAATAAATTGTGTTCTCTTTCTCTCTATGTGTATATATATACATATACATAGAGAGAATATAATTTATTTATATATATACATAGAAAGAGAGAGTGTCTTACTATATGCCTAGAATGGTGTTGAACTCCTGGGCTCAAGCAATCATCCCGCCTCAGCCTCCCAAAATGCTGGGAATATAGGTGTGAGCCCCCATGGCTGGTCTCTGTTTTTTTCAGAGATAGGGTCTCACTATGTTGCTTAGGCTGGCCTTGAATTTCTGGGTTTAAGCAATCCTCCCACCTCAGCCTCCTGAGTAGTTGGAACTACAGGCACACACCACTGTGCCTGGCTATCCGGTGTTTTGATGTTACAATGATGCTGCAGTGAATAATCTTGTGTATATCTCATTTTACTCCTGTAAAGTGTATCTGTTGGATATATTCCTAGAAGTTAAATTGCTGGGTTAAATAATATATGTATTTTTAAATTTCATAAATATTGTCAAAGCGTTATGATTCTGACATCAAATAGGGGTTTTGAAGCCATTTATTTATTTATTTAGAGACAGAGTCTCACTCCATTGTCCAGGCTGGAATGCAGTGGCATGATCTCAGGTCACTGCAACCTCTGCCTCCTGGGCTCAAGCGATTCTTCCTCCTCAGCCTCCCAAGTAGTTGGGATTACAGGCACACACCACCATGCCCGGTTCCTTTTTTTTTTTTCTTTGTATTTTTGGTAGAGACAGGATTTCTCCATGTTGGCCAGGCTGGTCTCTCTTGAACTTCTGAGTTCAAGTGATCTGCCCCACCTCAGCCTCCCAAAGTGCTGGGATTACAGTCTTGAGCCACCAAGCCCAGCCAAAGCTGTTTATTAAAAATTATGAGAGTATTTTCTCAGCTGATTTGCTCTCTTTCAGGTACTTGATCTTTTATTTCTTCCAAAACAAGTTAATTCACAAGTTACCCATTTATGGTGAAGAGTCAGAGAAAGATCTAGGTTGCTTTCTGTGGCATTTTGAAGAAAAATGTGAAGATGTGTACCACTACGCTTCTTCTAAAATAGTTGATGGGAACCCATTGATAATCATCACTGAAACTGATATACCTATTGGTATATCAGTAAAACGTTGTTAGCCATCCTTTACTAACAAAAGAATTTTCTTTCTTTTTTTTAAGTAAAAAAATTTTTTTTTTGGAGATGAGGCCTCACTATGTTTCCGAATTTGGTCTTAAACTACTGAGCTTAACCCATCCCCCCTTCTTGGCCTTTTAAAGTTATGGGATTACAGGCGTGAGACACCGTGTTTGGCTCAGGAATTCTCTTTCTTATGCTTCACAAACGTAGTGAGTTGTTATTCACAACTTATTCACAAGTTGTTATTCACAACAATATTCACAAATATTGTT